GATCTAAACAGCAGTCATCAGTGATTCAGTTAAACAAGGAGTTGGTGAGACTATATCTTGAATACTGTATGCATTTTTGGTCTGATTACTTAAGGAAGGACGTAACTACGTTGGAAGCAGTTCAGGGGAGGTTTACTAGATTGGTACGTGGATTGAGCAGGTTGTTTTATAAGGGTAGATTAGATGGAGTACTGGAATTTAGAAGAGTGAGGAGCAACTTGATTGAAGTGTGTAAGATCCTGATTGGTCTTGAGAAGGTGGACATAGAAAGGTTATTTCCTCTCATGAATTAGTCCAGAGCTTAGGAGGACTGTTTTAAATTTAGGGGCTGCCATTTCAGGACAAACGTGAGAGAAATTGAACTTTTTTTCTCTGAGTGTTGTCCAACTTCGGATTTCATGGCATTAAAATGTGGTGGAGGTGCGGTCATTGAATATTTTTAAGACAGATATAGACAAATTGTTGTTAGGCAAGAGAATCAAAGGTTATTGGGGCAGATGGGAATGTGAAATTCTAAACACAAACAACACAGATCAGCCATGATTTTATTAAATTATGATGCTGGCTTCAGGGACCAAATAATCTACTTCTGCTCCGAACACGAGTTTATCTGGAGGTCGGTTAGCTCATTTGGCTGGATGGAGAGTGAAGCCAGTGTCGGTTCAATTTCTGCAGCAGCTGATGTGACCATGACGTCCTACCTTCCCAACCATGTCCCATGCCTGAAGTGCGGTGACTATCACTAGTCATCTGTCTCTAACAAGAGAGCAGCCCTATGATCCTCTGTAATATGGCAACATAACCTATATGTTTGTATGAGCATCTACATTTCTAAAGAACTTGTAAATTTTAACAGTGAAATTTGCTACTAACCTTCTTAGTGGCTACTTTCTCTGGGTGAGAGCTAAAAACTTTGCTTGTTGAATGTCTGAAATAATAGTTGTGTACAAAGTGGGCATGTGAGGCATCAAAAAATTACCTTCAAAGTTGGTAGGTCTGCTGATAGAAAATTAAAATCATGTCAACTTGTTAGGGCAGATAGGGAGTATAAACAGAAGTTGCTGGAAAGGCACAGCAAATCTGGCAGCATCTGTGAAGAAAAAATCAGGGTTAACGTTTCGGATCTGATGACCCTTCCGCAAACCTGCTGAGCTTTTCCAGCAACTTCTGTTTTTCTTCCTGATTTACAGCATTCGCAGTTCTTTCGGTTTATATTCAGACAGGGAGTATGATACATGACTTTACAGGACCTGGTTATTTGAGAATATTGTCAATGTTTGGCCAGTCATATTTGGTTATTAATGAGGCCTAAAGTGATTAGTGGGACTTGTCCCTGGAGACTCTGATGCTTCCTCATTCATTCAAAATAATCCTACAAGCCAACGCCTTATTGGTTATAGTGATCCTGAGGTGGCAAGTTCAAGAAACTTATAAGTTCATAAGATATAGGGCAGAATTAGGCCATTTGGCCCATCGAAGTCTGCTCCGCCATTCGATCATGGCTAATATGCTCCTCACCCCCATTTTCCTGCCTTCTCCCCATAACCCTTCAACCCATTACTAATGAAAAATGTGTCTAATTCCCCCTTAAATTTCCTCACTGTCCTAGCATCCACTGCACTTTGGGGTAGTGAATTCCACAGATTCAGAACCCTTTGGGAGAAGTAGTTTTTCCTCAACTCTGTTTTAAATTTACTACCCCTTATGCTAAGACTATGAACCCTCATCCTAGAATGCCCCACAAGAGGAAGCATCCACTCCATGTCTATTTTACCTATACCTTTTATCATCTTGAATACCTTAATTTGATCTCCCCTCATTCTTCTAAATTCCAGAGAGTATAGACCTAAACTGTTCAATCTCTCTTCATACGACAAACCCCTCATCTCTGAGATCGACCTAGTGAACCTCCTCTGAACTGCCTCCAATGCCACTACATCTTTCCTCAAATAAGGGGACCAAAACTGTGCACAATAGTCCAGGTGCGGTCTCATCAATGCCTTGTATAGTTGCAACAATACTTCCTTCCCTTTATATTCTTTTGCTTCAGCTATAAAAGCCAACTTTCCATTCGCTTTCTTTATTATCTGCTGTACCTGCATGCTAGTTTTCTATGACTCATGAACAAGGACACCCAGATCCCTCTGCACCCTGAAGTCTCTCCCCATTTAGATAATAAGTCACCTTCCCATTTTTCTGACCAAGATGCATGACCTCACACTGATCCACATTAAACTCCATCTGCCACATTTTGGCCAACTCTCCTAACCTATCTATATTTATTTGTAAGGTTCGTACTTCCTAATTGCAATTTACCGTCATCCACAAGTTTGACTATAGAGCCTTCTATCCCTATATCTACGTCATTAACGTAGATTGTAAATAGCTGGGGTCTAAGGATTGAACCCTATGGCACCCCACTAGTTACTTCTTGCCATTCTGAAAAAAACACATTTATCCCAACTCTCTGTGTTCTGTGTATCAGTCAGTCACCTATCCAAGATAATAAATTACCCCTAATCCCATATGATCCAACCTTGTGAATTAACCTTTTGTGCAGCACCTTATCAATTGCCTTCCGCAAGTCCAGATATATTACATCTACAGGATCCCCATTATCCACTTTGCTTGTTACATTTCTGAAGAACTCTAGCAAATTAGTCAAAAATGATTTGCCCTTCATAAAACCATGCTGATTCTGATGGATAGCCTTTGACTTCCCAAATGTCCTGATATTGTTTCCTTGAGAGTTGATTCTAACACTTTGCCAGCAACAGATGTTAAACAAACTGGATTGTAATTTCCCACATATTGCTTCCCACCCTTTTTGAATAATTAGCAATAATTAGCAATTAATAATAATTAGCAATTTTCCAATCCACTGGAACCTTTCCCATGTCCAGTGAATTTTGGTATATTCTAACGAATGCACCCACTATCTCTGTCACCACTTCCTTTAAAACTGTAGGATGTAGATCACAAGTTCTTTATGACGGTAAATCACTCAGTTTGGTTTGGTTACATTCCAGCGTTACGTATGGGGGAATTCAAAACCATGGCCCTTATCGACACGGATTTGAAAGGTCAGAGATAGTGTGTATTCCATATGTAGCAAACAAATGAGACTCTGACAATCATTCTTGGGTCTTTCAGTAAATTGACTTGGAAGCTCTTAAGCATTGTAATGAGTTTCTATGCGTGTCAGATTGACCAAAACAGTAAGGTTTTATTTTCAGCTTTGAAAACTTTGGATCATGAATTTAATCAGTGATGTTTTCATCCGATTCTGTGTAGATTCTATGATCTTTGATTTACTGTTTTATTCTGTTTCCCATTTGAATCATTTTCCTTTTCATTGTTTTCCTCTTCTGCCCCTTTAGTGGTCTGTTTATGCTTACGGGGGTCCCCCAGTTACGAATAAAAACAGAAGTTGCTGGAAAAGCTCAGCAGGTCTGGCAGCATCTGTGAAGAAAAAATCAGAGTTAACTTTTCGGGCCCGGTGACCCTTCCTCAGAACACGATTTACCAATGTCCAACTGACATGCTTATGAATGCGATCCAATGCACGGATGTAATTTTAAACACCTGACATATGAACATGTTCTGTAGTTATGAACAGCTGCTTTCCATTGTCCAGCAGTGTGTTCAGACTTGTGTACAAATCGATTTGCGAACAGACTCCTGACGGACCCTGTTCACAGCCCTGGGATTCCCTGTACTTGCAATTGTAGGCTGCCTATTGCGAGCTTTGTATCTTACAATGTGATACAACTAAAAAACTCTCTGCCACCATTAATGATACCAATGATGTATACCAGTAATAACATTGATTAATTGATCAGTATGTACCTTGACATGTGCATTGTTGATACTTCCTTGAACCCTGCTGATGATACCAGTACTGCCTTTCTACTGGACTAAATGGATTTTATGGCATGTACCAGATATTTGCCACAAGACTGCAGGAGAACAGGCATAGAAATTGATTTCTTCTTGAAATTATTAGATCATTAGAAATAAAATATGAAAAATAAAATGATATTTTCAAAAAATTATTTGGTTCTGTGTGTCAAGCCACGCATGGCAATTGTCATTACAAAGTAATAAGCCTTCTGATTCCAACATAAAGAAACACTGTCAGCTGGTATGGAGCTATAAGCTGTAGGGCAAAGTAAAGAAGAAAAGGGAGAGTGGCCTCTAAACTTGAATTAGTTTAAATGAGAATCTTCAGTGTCAGATCAGTGCAGATTGTCTCTTTAACATTGTTTAGTTTGTGCTAACGTCAATGATCCTACTCATCTCTACAGCAAGTGCCCAAATTTGTTATTTAAGAAAAATATTGATACAAATTTTGTAAAAGTTCTGCCTCAGTTCAGCGTGGTTTACTTTCTCATTTGCTAATCTCACCACACTGTGCCATGGAAATCTCTGTACACAGGAAGGAAATGGATACTTAAGAAATATGCCACTGTAGCGGATCAGATAAACAGCACTGAATTCAGGAAGCACTTGCAGATGTCTGAGAAAGCAAACTTTGGCTTAATTGGGTGCAGATACTGTGGAATAGGATTGCACTTGAAAAGAGCAGGTAATAGGAAGCCGTGTAATAGTTGTATAGCTGCATTTTACATGATGCTAACTGGCTCCAGTTGGAAATTGTTCAAAAGGGCAGTCATGCCTGTGCAAGAAGCTGCTGCTTTGATAAAACAATGAAGACTAAATGAAAGTACGGAGTGCTGTGATGACAGCTAGTCAGTCAAGTATAGCGTTATTAATGACCTTGCAAGCCACTTGTGGTTTATGGAATATGAGAGGTATTCATATTATTGAAGCCCGAGGAGAAAGAATTGTATTAAATGTCTCCTTCCTGTATCTATCCTATTATTTGCTGTAGCCAACCCAATGCTAACTGCTGCTTTCAGTTCATGTTGTGGCATGATTCCAGCAACTAGTACTAAGCACAGAAATTGAAACTGTTGTGATGGCTTTGTGTTTTACAGTGACTTTTAACAACCAACCTTGCTGCACGAACTACTCAACGCAGTAAGTAGCCTTTTTATTTGCAATACTTATGATGTTAGTTGAGGTGCAGATTTAAAATAACGTCTTCTAACTTTGATCATTAATTTCCTGTGAGTTGGCAAAGATTTGAAAAGAACTCTTGCTTATTTCGATCTCAGCTAATGAAGTTTGCATTGTTCATTCAGTTCTTGATTTCATTCTTATGTTGATTAAGAAAGTTTTTTATGGAGTCTACTATTTTAAAAATGTGAATGCTGTTATATTTTTGTAAGGATGTTTATTTTAACCGGTTATAAACTGTACAGCAGAAGTTGCTTTTGTTTTTATGTAAACTTGAAAATTCCTGGGTATTATACTTGGTCTCTTCTGAATTTGTTGATCTTAGGCTGAGCTTGATTTTCTTGAATGAATCAAGAAGTTTGGGAGGGTGGTTGGCCTGCTCAGCTCAGATTCAAGTCACATCAACCCAGCTGAAAAGTGCATATGTACAACTGCTTAACATTGGTACTTGTTAAAATCATAGCATCATAGAATGGTAACAGCACAAAAAGCCATTTGGTGCATCTTGTCTATTCTCTTCAAGAACAACTTGGTTGATCTATTCCCCTGCTCCCTTCCTGCAGCCCTGCAAGTTTTCTCTCCTCAGAGTGCAGGCTGTGTAGGTAGCTCAGTGGTTAGCACTGCTGCCTCACAGTGCCAGCGACTTGGGTTCAGTTCCAGCCTTGGGTGATTATCTGTGTGGTGTTTGCATATTCTCCTTGTGTCTGTGTGAGGTTTCCCCCTGCAATCTAAAGATATTGAGGATGGTTGGATGGGCTGTGCTAAATTGTGCATAGTATCCAGGGATGTACAGGCTAGGTAGATTCTTCACCCATACTTCTCTTAGTATCAATTTCACAGGATATGGGCATCACAGACTGGGTGGCATTTATTGCCCATCCCTACTTTCCTAGAGGGAGTCAACCACAGTGCTGTGGGTCTGGAGTCACATGTAGGTCAGATCAGGCAAGAATGGCAGATTTCCTTCCTTAAAGGCCATTTGAAAGAACTAGATGGGTTTCCCCTCAACAATGATTTCCTGCTCAACATTAGACTCTTAATGTCATGTTTTTATTTTGAATTCAAATTCCACCATCTGCCATGGCAGGACTTGAACCCAGGCCCTCAGAACATGACCTGGGTCTCTGGATTAATAGTCTATCCATAATACTACTAGCTCATTTTTGGATTTTTCATTGCGTCCCTACATCCAGATCTCATTATTTCTGAACTTTAGGTACAGTCAGCCTTTCTAATACTTAGATTTTATCCATTTTCAACTCATCGAATATCTTAATTGCCTCCTCTTTTAATGAGGCTTCGGCAGAATCTAATTCCCTGATAGAGACAGATGGAAGTACTCATTCAGTACCTCAACAATGCCCTCTGCCTTGAAATACAAATCCCCTTTTGGTCCCTTTTTTGCCCCACCCCTCAAAATACTGCCCTTCTTCTCTTTATATTCTGATGGAAGACTTCTGGATTCTCTTTAATATTACTTCCCACAATTTCACTTTGCATCTCTCAAGTCCATTTTCACTTCCCCCTCTGAAATTTATTCAGCCTAATTTTTGATTATTTTACCAACCTGCGATCTACCATATACTCTCTTTCTCTGCTTCTTGTTCTCAACCTCTTTTGTCATCCAGGGAGCTGTAGATTTGTCTGTCTAACAACTGTGCCAAAAGTATCCCATCTTTAAAAAACAACCCATTGCTCCATTACAGTTTTCTTTGCCAATCTTTCATTTTAATTTATCTGGGCCAGATTTGTTCTTGCCATTGAAAAATAGCTTTCCCCCATTTAATTATTTTCACTGTGGATTGATTCTTGTTTTTTTTTCCATAGCTAATCTAAACCTTATAAAACTGTGACCACTGTTCTTTAAATATTTCCTGACTAAATATTTGATCCAACTGGTTTGCCAGAACCAGATCCAGCAATGATGCCTTACTTGTTGAACCAGAAGCATACTGATCTTTTCAGAAACACCTCCCGTTCTCATCGTTTACACGATTACAGTACTATCCCCAGTGATATTAAGGCAACTAACTCCTATTTTACTGGTCTATATTTTACGAGCTGTCTCTAATTTCCATATAAATTTCTTCCTCTACATCTTTCCCATCAGTCGATGACCTTTGAGATACACTTAATAGTTTTATGTTAGCTCTATTGTTTCTTAAATCTAACCAAATAGATTCTGTCCGTGGCTCCTCTAGGAAACCCTCTCCATAATATTATTGTTAGTCCATGCCATCAATCCTCCTAATTTCTTTCCTTTCCCATCTTTCCTGAACACCTAGTATCCAGAAATATTTGGAATCCATTTCTCAGCTTTTTTTTGAGGTAGACCTCTGTTGCTACCACATTCCTACAGGGCAATCTGCATCTACAGTTTCCCATCCTTAGTTACCACACGCTATGCATGAGGCAGCAACGATCTTGTCAAACATTAGAACAGACTGAAGGGGCTGAATGGCCTACTCATTTGCCTTGTAAAATGAAGTTAATTCAGAACCAATCCTGATGTTTCAGAAATCCAAAAACCTCTCTTCTGCAGTATCTTGCCTGCCATGCATTCATCTGCTATATCTTTTCATTTCTGTTCTTGCTAGTGAATAGCACCAGAAGATTGCTTCCTTTGACGTCCGCCTTGATAGAGTCTTTCTTAGCTCACTAGAATTTTCTTGCAGGACACATTCCTCTATCTACTTGGTTTCAGCGACCCAGCATACCATTCTGGGTTCACAACTGAGACTGCAGAAATTATAGCCTGCACAAACTATAATTGCCAATCACTGTTGCTGCCCAATCTTCCTCCTTGCACACCAAACAGCAGAGCCAGCTGGAAACTCCCCAAAGATACCATCACTATTGTTCACATATAGTGCTGAATACCAGTTAGTGGAGGAGAGGCATTCCTTGGACTTTTGGTCCTCCCAGACACTTGGCGCTTATGTGGCACAAACGTCTCTTGCCACTTTTCAGCCCAAGCCTGGATATTTTCCAGGTTGTGCTGTATTTGGCCAAGAACTGCTTCAAAATCTAGGAGTCGAGAATGGTGCTTAACTTTATGCAATCATTGGCAAAAGTCCTCACCTTGTAAGGGATGAAGGGTCTTTGATGAAACAGCTGAAAATGGTTAGACCACGGACACTAACCTGAGGAACTCCTGTAAAGATACCTTGGAGCTGAGATAATTGACTTCCAATAATCACAACTATCTTCCTCTGAGCTCAGTATGACTCTAATAAGTGGAGGGCTTTCTGCCTAATTCTCCTCGACTTCAGACATAGTAAGAACTGCAGATGCTGAAGTCAGAGACAACCCAGTGTGGAGCTGGAGGAGCACCGCAGGCCAGGCAGCATCAGAGGAGCAGGAAAGCTGATATTTCGGGTCGGGACCATTCTTCAGAAGGCCCGTGGTGGGATTTGAATCTGTGTCCAATTGTCTTTTGAATTTATGCAAATTGACTGATCTAGTTTTTCTTCGTAGTTGATTAATTAAAATTAAATTTAAATATTACCACTACATATAGCTCCTTGACCCATATGAGGACAATCTGATTTGTTGACCTGTGATGGCAACTTTGCGATTTCATTTTCCTTTTGTGTTGTTCGTGTTCATAGACCAATCACAAATCAGAGCGCTGCTTTTCTCCATTCCCAATCTCTCATTTGATCGTCCCACTGTATTACTGGTCTCTATTTTTAAGGTGCTGCAGGCTTCTGCTTTCATACAGATCCACTCCAGGCTTCACCAGCTTCTAATACCAGGTTGACAACATACCATCCACCATGTCTGTGGCTGCAGAAATACCTGCTTGTTTCCCAGCTATAGAATCCCTTACCACTTACGGCAGTACAAACTTCCAAACAAATACAGGAAGCATTCTGGTGTTCCCTTATGGATCAGGATGTGCATCAACTGGTACAGAGGTGTCCTACCATGCTTCTTTTTATTGATTCAGTACCAAAATTAACAAAAACACAACTTAAGAATACAAAGTTTAGATTTAAAACCCAATTTAGTTATTCTCATATTAAAGAAAGCACTGCAAATGCTGAAAATCTTCAATGAAAACAGAAATTGCTGGAGAAACGCAACACGTCTAGCAGCATCTGTGGAAAGAAAACAGAATTAACTGAAGAAGGGTCACTGGACTTGAAACATTAATTCTGTTTTCTCTCTGCAGAGTTTCTCCAGCAATTTCTGTTTTTGTTAATTATTCTTACTCCTTATTTTAGGTCCTTATGAGAACTGATCTTAGTTCTGCCACTGCCTTCCTCTCCACATTGAACTCACTGTTTCAATTGTTGCCTCTGCTCTGTTAGGTCTAGGTTGGATTTCAGGAGAATAGTTTCTGTAAGTTGACCCCAAGCATTTACCCTGCTAAAGATAATGCTAATCTGGGTCTACAGTCCTACCAAAATGGAGGAATTGTTTTTAATAATATAAACGTTATCATTGACAGATATCAGTATCCTGGATATGTATGCTCAGGTAATGCAGTTTGTATCCCAACCAGCAGTGTTATTTTGATTTGGCCTAATGGTTTATAGATCAGATAAAAGATCTCACAGCAATAACTTTTCAAAATAACATTTATCACAAGAATCAAAACAGGAGTGGGTAAAGAGAAAGACAAATGTGTGACATCCAATGCAATAAAAGCATGTTGTAATAACAGCATTCCTCATTGTGATATAACAAGTCACGAGGTGGCACCCTCTTTGTGGACAGTCTAACCAATCTTTACTTGTTTAGAAGTAAATGAATTGATATAAACCCTCCTTCAAGATATTATTGCGACGTATGGACATATCGTAACATATTTTCCTTAGTGTGTAAGTAAAAAATCCCTAATAAGTCATCTTTGGTTTATAATAAGGAACTAGTAAATAATCATTCTACAACTGTACACACAGAGGAAATATCCTCCTACAATCTTTCATTGTGATGACGATGATGAAACTTTC